ACTGCACTCCAGTCTGGGCGACAGAGTGAGACTCCAACTCAAAAAAAAAAAAAATTGTGTTTTCGTGAAACTGACTGTATTGTAGAGATCATGATTTCACTTTTAAAGAATGACATTGCTGCTTTCCTAAGTTAACAGGTTCAAACATTCTTCTGTGGACAGAACTAGTTTTTTGGGTGCTGGCCAAGTAAGGTGGAAAAAGTTTTTTGAAAAAGTTTCCTATGGCTCCTTTCACATTTATAGATCCAAGCTTTGCTCATTCATGTTCTTCTTAAAGTTACATATCACATGCCGAGCAAGAGGGTCACTTGGTCTGAAGCTCTCAGGCTATGTCCTTTTTATTTTTTTATTTTTTGAGTCAGGGTCTCACTCTGTTGCCCAGGCTGGAGTACAAGTGTCATGATCATGGCTCATGGAAGCCTCGACCTCCTAGGCTCAGGCAATCCTTCCACCTCAGCCTCCCAATTATCTGGGACTACAGGAGGGTGCCACCACATCCAGCTAATTTTTTGATTATTTTTTGTAGTGACGAGGTCTTGCGAAGTTGCCCAAGCTGGTCTCAAACTTGGGCTCAAGGGATCCTTCCATCAGGCTATGTCTTGATTTGTCTGGGTATCTTGTGATTTGCTTCATCTCTGCTCCTATGCTTTGCCCAGCGTCAGGTCTCCAAGGGTTGCAAAGCTGAACAAGGCTTTGTCTGTTGAGATTATTCCCTTGAAACTCAGCTGATATCGATCCAACTAGAAAGGTTTTTTAAAAATTAAATTTCTTTATTTGACCAAAAATGTATCATGCATGATGTGTGTACACACACACACACAGACACACACAGACACACACACACACACACACACACACACACACACACACACAGTGGAATGGCTAAATCAAGCTCAATAATATATGCATAACCGCAAGCATTATTTGAAGTGAGGACATTTAAAATTGATTCTCAGTAATTTGCAAGAATATAATACATTGTTATTCACTATAGTGCAGTAGTCTCTCACTTACTCTTCCTGTCTACTTGAAATGTATCTTTTGACTATTTTCCTTGCCCCTTTCTCCCCTCTCCCCTCCCCCGCCTTCAGCCCCTGGTAACTACCCATTGTACTCTGTACTTCCATGAGTTTTATCTTTTTTAGATTCCACATATAAGTGCCATCATGCAGTGTTTGTTTTTCTGTGCCAAGTGTATTTCACTTAGCATAATGTCCTCCAGGTTAATCAGTGTTATCACACACAATAGGAGTTCCTTGTTAAGGGCTGAATAGTATTTCATTACATATGCATACCACATTTTCTTTATTCATTCATTTGTTGATGGACACTTAAGTTGAGTCTGTATCTTGGTTATTGTGTGAATAGTGCTGCGATGAATATGGGTTGCGGATCTCTCTTCAACATACTGATTTCATTTCCTTTGGATATCTTCCCAGAAGTAGGATTGCTGGACCATATGGTAATTCTAGTTTTAATTTTTTGAAGAAACTCCATACTGTTTTCCATGGAAGGGTTTTATTTTCTCCAATATGTGTTGCCTTTCATCTTAATGATGAAAGCCATTCTTACAGGTGTGAGGTAATATCTCATTGTGGTTTTCATTTGCATTTCCCTGATGATTGGTGATACCAAGCACCTTTTTAATACACCTGTTGGCCATTTCTATGTCTTCTCTTAAGAAACGTCTTCAGGTCCTCTGTCTATTTTTAAATTCGTTGTTGAGTTAAGTTCTTTATATACTCTTTATTAGATAGATGGTTTGCAAATATTTTGTCCTATTCCATAGGTTGTCTCTTCACTCTGTTGATTATTTCCTTCGCTGTGCAGAAGATTGTTAGTTTGAAGTAATTCCCTTTGTCTATTTTTGCTTTTGTGGCCTGTGCTTTTGGGTTCACATCCCAAAAAACCACTGTCCAGACCAGTGTCATGGAGCTTTTTTTCTATGTTGTCTTCTAGTGGTTTTACAATCTCAGGTCTTACATTTAAGTATTTAATCCATTCTGAGTTGACTTTTATATATGACATAAGATAAGGGTCTGATTTCATTCTTTGTATGTGAATATCCAATTTTCCCAGAGTAATTTATTGGAGAGACTGTCCTTTCCCTATTGTGTGTTTTTGGCACCTTTGTCAAAAATCAATTGACCAAAAGTGTGTTGATTTATTTCTCCAGGACTCTTTATTCTGTTACATTGATGCAGTGTCTGGTTTTTTTTTTTTCCAGTACTGTGCTGTTTTGGTTATTATAGCTTTTTAGTGTATTTTGAAGTTAGGTTATGTGATGCCTCCAGCTTTGATCTTTTTGTTTAAAATTACTATGACTATTTGGGGTCTTCTGTGGTTCTGTATAAATTTTAGGATTTTTTTTCATATTTCCATGAAAAAAGTCATTGGAATTTTAAGAGGGATTGCATTGAATTTGTGGATTCCTTGGGTAGTATGGACATTTTAGTAATATTAACTCTTCCTATACATGAGCATGGGATATTTTAATTTACATGTGTCTTCTTCAATTTCTTTTACCTAAGTTTTATGGTTTTCAGTGTACAGGTCTTTCATGTTTTTGGTTGCATTTATTTCTAAATATTCATAGGTATTGTAAGTGGCATTGTTTTCTTGGTTTTATTTTTGAATAATTCGTTGTTAGTGTATGGAAACACTACTGATTTTTTTTTTTTTTTTTTGAGTTGGAGTCTCACTCTGTCGCCCAGACTGGAGTGCAGTGGCTGCTCCCGGCCACCGCAGCCTCGACCTGCGGGGCTCTGGCGATCCTTCCGCCTCAGCCTTCCAAGTAGCTGAAACTACAGGCGTGCGCTACCACACCCAGCTAATTTGTTTTTGTTTTTTGTTTTTTTGAGTTGGAGTCTCACTCTGTCGCCCAGACTGGTCCCAGCCACTGCAGCCTCGACCTGCTGGGCTCTGGCCATCCTTCCGCCTCAGCTTTCCGAGTAGCCGGAACTACAGGTGCGCGCTACCAGGCCCAGCTGATTTTTGATTTATTGTAGAGATGAGGTCTGGCCAAGTTGCCCAGGCGGGTCTCGATCGCGCGGGCTCAGGCAATCCACTCACCTCAGCCTCCCAAAGGCGCGGGATTACAGGCTGAGCCACCGAGCCCGGCTCTGATTTTTATTTTTTGAGTTAGGATCTCACTCTGTCATTCAGGCTGGAGTGCAGTGGCAAGATAACGACTCACTACAGCCCTGAATTTCTGAACTCAAGCCATCCTTCCACCTCAGCCTCCTGTGTAGCTAAATTACAGACGTGTGCCACCACGCCTGATTTATTTATTTATTTATTTATTTTTTGTAGAGACGAGATCTTGCTAAGATGCCCAGGCTGGTCTCGAACTCCTGGGCTCAAGCAATCCTCCTCTCTTGGCCTCCCAAAGTGCTTGGATTACAGACGCCTGGCCTACTAAATTCACTGAGTAGTTCTAACAGTATTTTGGTGGCATCTTTAGGGTTTTCTTTATGCAAGATTATGTCATCTGCAAAACAGAGACAATTTAATGTCTTCCTTTCCAATTTGGATGCTTTTTATTTCTTTCTCCTGCCTAATTGCTCTGGCTAGGACTTCTAGTACTGTATTCAATAGAAGTGACGAGAGCAGGCTTCCTTGTCTTGTTCCTGAACAGATTGTCTGTGGGGATTAATTCACTCTAGTTAAAAATAACCACTTGCCTGGAGTAAGAATTCTCAGACCAGTTGAGTTTTATTGTGTCTGTTTTGCATTTAATGCTTAAATCATAGGACATACCTGGTCTGAGAATCCATACTCCAGGCGAGTGACTGTTATTAACTAGAGTGAATTAATCTCCACAGACTGCTACAGCTGGTCCTCTCGGTAATCTCTACACACGGCTAATTTAATTGTACTGTATGCACTGTCCCAGTTACTCTTCTTATCAGCCAACTGCTATCACCTTGTGTCTAATTTTGAAATCTAGTCTAGTGAACTAAAAAGTAAAATGTTATATCTTCATTGTTATTTTTTCCCTTTCTCTCTTGGTTTCCTTCTTCTTTTTTATTTATTTATTTTTTTTCTGAGCTGGAGTCTCACTCTGTCGCCCAGGGTAGAGTGCAGTGGCACATTCATGGCCACTGCAGCCTCGACCTGCTGGGCTCAGGTGATCCTTCTGCCTCAGCCTTCCAAGTAGCTGGAACTACAGGCATATGCCACCATGCCTGGCTAATTTTTTGATTTGTTGTAGAAATGAGGTCTTACCAAGTTGCCCAGGCTGATCTTGAACCCCTGGGCTCAGGCATTCTTCTCGCCTCCGTTTTCCAAAGTGCTGGGATTACAGGTGTGAGCCACTGTGCCTGGTTGGTTTCCTTCTTTTAAAGTCAAGAAGCATGCATTTTAAGGTGGAGAGCCTGGAAGGGCATTCAATTAGTCATTTAATTTTACCTGTTTCTAGGCAGGATGCTCCTACCTCATCTTAGGTGCAGTTGTCTGTTTTCTTCTTTGAGCTATATTTTGAATTTCTGTGGTTTTCATTTGGGGTGTGTGTGTGTGTGTGTGTGTGTGTGTGTGTGTTGCTGTTTTAAAATAAAGCAAACAAAAAAGATCCACGTTTTATTTAGTGGTTCAATAAAATAAGTTATTCTTTCCAGATCCCCATTTGATTTCTGCTTTCACATTTTTGAGTAATCTTTCTTGCACAGATGAGATAACTGAGGCCCTGAAAAGAGCAGTGACCTGCCCAGGCTCATCTGGTCCTTGGTTGGCAGAGCTGGTAACAGAAGTAGGTCACCTGACTCTGGACCCAGGGCTCTCCCCACATTGCATCCTACCTGCAGGTCATCCTGGAATGAGAATTTGCCTTGCAGTTTTCTGGCCTGCCAACCATTTTCAGAATTCTCTCCGCCAAGTGCTGGTTTAAAAATGAATGACCGCTTAATGGACATTTCTATTTCTGAGAGTGAGCCTGTGCTTTTTCTTTTCTCCTCTGGTAGAAATCTGACATCCAGGACAACCTCTGCTACAAGACCCAGTTCTACCAGATAGAAAAGTACAGGACCACCAAGGAGCCCTATGAGGTGAGTGATCCCTGAAACAAAACCTAGGGCCTCTTAGGAAGAGTGGATTTCCACTTTGGGGGGAGGGGAGTAGAAAAGAAACCAATTACTGTGGAACACTGAAGTAGCAAAAGACAAATACTCTGGCACCTGAGCCCTTGAGAAATGGTTGACAGCCGAGCCACTACCACTGTCTCTAAACTGTGGTTCTCAGCTGTGACTACACCTCAGCATCCCCGGGAACATTTAAACATCTGGATGCCCATGCTGCACCATGGACCAATGACATAGAGTCTCACAAGGCAAGAATCGGTTAGCAGTATTTAAAGCTCCCTGGTTGATTCTAATGAGCTGTCAAAATAGGAAACCACTGTCAAATCTCCAAAAGCTAAAAATGAGTGCTCAATGTTCTCATTCATATGAGAGGGGACCAAAAAACAAACAAACAAAAAACTGCCAGAATTTATTTATAAAAAATTGTGTATTTATTCTGACGTGTTTATACTTCAGTTACCTTCAAAGTACTCCGTGTTTGATGCATTACACTTATTGAGACGCTTTTTCCACTGCTCAAAACAGTTTTCGAACTTGTCGATTTTGATGCCTTTTAGCACTTCTGTTGTTTTTTGTTTCTTTTCTTCCACATCAGCAAAATGTTTCCCTGTGGGGATTTTCTCTTTTGGAGAAACAAAAAAAAGTTGCTTGGGGTGAGATCAGGGGAATAGAGAGAGCAGGGCCCTGGGGTCATGCTATTTTTGGTCAAAAACTGCTGAACACTCAGCACAGTGTGGGCAGGTTGTTGGTGTAAACCACCCATCATGAAATGGACAGACGTGTTGGAAGAATCTCCAGAAAAAATTCACTGAAGCTGAATGCAGTCTTGCACAACAACACTAGCTTGTACACTGATGCCAGTGGGTTCCTGGAACACTTACCTAGTGGGAGAAGTCTGTACTACAAGAGACCCACCCTTCAAAAAAAATGATTCTGGTATTTTTGGGTCCCCTCTCATGTATGGAATCTTAAAAAAAAAAAAAAAGAAAGAAAAAACTGAGCTCACAGAAGTAGAGAGTAATTATCAGAAGTTGAGAAGGGCAGGGGAAGGAAGGATAGGGAGAGTCTTCTTTTTTTGTTTTTTTTTTTGTTTTTTAGTTTTTGGGTTTTTTTTGAGTTGGAGTCTCACTCTGTCACCCAGACTGGAGTGCAGTGGCTGCTTCCGGCCACTGCAGCCTTGACCTGCTGGGCTCTGGCGATCCTTCCACCTTAGCCTTCCAGTAGCTAGAACTACAGGTGTACACTACCACGCCCTGCTAATTTTTTGATTTATTGTAGAGATGAGGTCTCGCCAAGTTGCCCAGGAGGGTCTAGGGAGAGTCTTCTAAGGGATACAGAATTATAGCTAGATAATAGAAGGAAGTTCTAGTATTCCATAGCACTGCAGGGTAAGTAAAGTTAACAGTAATTTATTGTATATATTCAAAAAGTGAGAAAAGAGGATTTTGAATGTTCCCAATAGAAACAGATGAGAAATGTTTGAGGTGATTATCCTGATTTGATCATGACACATTGCATACATGTATCAAAATATCACACTGTACCCCATAAATATTTACAGTGATTACATGCTGACTAAAAATAAAATGAAAGAAAAGAATGCAAATGCTAAAAAAAAAGAGAGATGTTCAAAATGGAGCTGAGTGTAACCACTAGCATCTGGAGAAGAAAGTAAGACAAGGAATGGGGAAGTTTTCAAGAAGAAGGCAAGCTTTCCTATTCAGCTCTCCCTAGTTGCTTGATGTCACCTAGAATATACCTAAGAAGAAGATACCACAGTCCTTTGATTTCAGAATAAAAACCAGTATTCTGACTGGGCATGGTGGCTCACATCTGTTATCCCAGCACTTTGTGAGGCTGAGGTGAGAGGATTACCTGAGCCCAAGAGTTTGAGATCAGCCTAGGCAGCATGGTGAGACCTCCTTGTTTCTACAGTAAATTAAAAAATTAACTGGAGTGGTGGCACATGCCTGTAGTCCCAGCTACTTGGAAGGCTGATGTGGAATGATTGCCTGAGCCCAGCAGGTCAAGGATGCATTGGCTGTGAGCATGCCACTGCACTGCAGCCTAGGTGACAGAGTGAGGCTCTGACTCAAAACAAACAAACCAACAGACAAAAATAGTATCCATGGATCACACATACTTGTTTGTAAGGAGATTGTGCCTGTGAATTCCAGATCAAGGGTGGAAAGCAGGGATGGTGTGGTCTCAGGGCCCCTCACTTACCTTTTGTCAAACAGGCTCTTCTTCCTCAGTGATTTTTCTGGGAATCTGCTCCCATTTTTCCTCTGGATCCTCTTCTGTGCCTCCTGAGTGTCCCTGGGCCAGGAACCTCTCCTGGGATCCCCTAGGAGTTCCTTCATTTAAGAGGAGATAAAAAAGAAACCTTCCCTCCAGGTTCCACATGTGGCCACAGGCCTGGCCTCTTCCCTCTTTCTATTCCAAATATATAGTTTTCATCCTGATTCCACAAGCCACACCTATTGCTCTGGAAGGATTCTTCTCTAGGCTGTCTTGCGTGCAGGGCTATAGGAAAGCAGGGGTCTTTACTGAGGCAGCCAGGGAGGCACGTGTCCAGGACACAATGACAGCAGGCACCCAGCTGCCAGGCACTGTGTGTAAACATGACAGGAGCATGGGAAGGGGACCAGCCCCAAGCGTCAAGGCTGGGAGAATGGCACGACTGTCCATTCCTGACAGAGCTGGGGCAGAGGGAGAGGAGAAACAGGCAAAGACTGGCAAGAGTGGCCAGAGTGGGTAAGAAAACCAGGAGATAGTGATGCCAGGAGGACCGCAGGAACAAAGAAAAGACGTATGAAATAGTAGGAAGTGTTGGCTGAGTGGTTAGTTGTCCTGAGGGTGCTAGGGAGAACAGCCTCATGGCAGTGCAGAGGCAGAAAAGAGATTGCATGGATTACTGAGGGTGGGGTGAGGGGATGTGAAGACACTGAACACCGACCTCTCTGTCAAGGATGCTGCAATAAAAGGAGGACATGGCCTCGATGGAAGGATACGTGGGACCATAGAGGTGTGAGGGTGGAGAAAATGAGATTCGGAGCAGCCTGGGTAGGACTTGGTCTTGACTCCAGGTTGGACGCCTCCTTCCTCCGAGACAGGCTGTGGGGCCCAGGGTGATGAGGATGGAGATAAGCCCTTTGAAGGGTGGGCTTTGGCGATGAAGGCCCCTGGGTGGTACTTTCAGGCTGGCAGCAGGAGAGCAAAGTTGTCAGGACCCAGATGTCCCCAGAGCTCCAGACCTCTCTGGCCAATTGTCTACTAAATGTTACCCTCCTCTTGCATGAGTGAAGGGTCTGAAGTCTAGCGTGCTTGGAGCCAGACTCCCCCGTACCTCCATAGCAACCCCATGTTCCCCAGCTGGGCAGGAATGAAACCCAGGAATCCTTGACTTCCACCTTTCCCTTACCCCAGAGCCAGCATGTCACCGAGTTCTGCCAGTTGGACTCAAACCTCCTCCACTCTCTCCATTCTCAATCCTCCCCCCGTCCCAGCCATATGGCTTCTCACCTGGACCTCTGCCACACCCTTCTCACTGGCCCTGTCCCACCACCACTGCCACTCTTCCCGCCACCTTCCCTGACAGTTGCCCACCGTTCTCTTCTCCGCATGGAACCAGAGTAAGCTTTTCTCTCTCAGATCAATCCTGTCATGTCACTTCCCTCCTTGAGGCCTTCGAAGGTTTTCTGCAGGGTGGACTCTGTGATGCCATGGCCGCCCGGTGTGACTCAGCTTCCACCTGCTTCTCCTGCCCATCTCCCAGGACCTCACCCAACATACAGCTCTGCTTCCTACTGTGTGCTCAGTCCCATGGCCTTCGGGCTTGCTGTGCTCTTTCTGCCTCCTGGGGATGTGTGCAAGCTGTTTCCTCTTCCGGAACATTCTCTGCATTTCTCTTTGCCAGAGCTGAGTCTCTCTTCAGATCCTAAGGCAAGGTCACCTCTCATGGACCCCGTCGTTCCCTGACCTTTGCCATGGGTCTCATCCCTCAAGTGTGGGCTATTACAACACATTCTGCATCCTGGGGCTTGTCCATCCGCAGCTTCTCATTTGTTTGGGGGTTATTTGATTAGCGTCTCTCTCTCTCTCTCTGTTCTATGAATTCTATAAGAGCAGAGATGGATCTCTTTTGCTCCACACAGTATTCCTAGAGTCCCCACGATGCCCATCATGCAGTAGGTGCTCAATAAGTGTTTGCTAAATGAATAAGTGAAAGAATCAAGTGGGCTTTCACCTAGTCTCAGAAAATGGATAGAACTGGGACAACCAACTGGAGAAGGTAGGACATTCTAGATGGGACACCTAGCTGGATCAAAGTCAGGGGGATACCTGCAGCACAGCACACAAATGGCATGATGACCACGTCTGAAGGCAGAAAGGAACCTCTTACAGTCACCTGCATTGAGGGTGGTCACCCCGGCTAGAGTCCAGGGGATTCAGTATCTACTGTTAGGGTCCCTTGTCTCTTGGATTGCATCTGACTCTTTAGGGCCTCAAATAATAATGCAACTTAGATGCACCGAGAGCCCTAAGTGCATGCTCTCAGTGACCCTATACCACTTTGCTGACGCCCTGGTCCATGCTGACCTCACATGTGATTGTGATTGTGTGTCTGAAGGTGCCAGAACTGTGTCAGGAAAGGGTCCCTTCTTTCGTCTGGATTATTTTTCTCTGTTATCTCATCTGGCCTGAAAACATATTAAGCGTTTTAAACATTTGTTGGAATACTTAATAGTTAGGATTTAAATAGGAGCACCAACGGGCAAACAGCATTTCAATTTTCTATGATCCAATTGTTTTCTCTAAACTGCAGTGATACTTCTGCTAATTATATTACAGTTATTACCAGACGAGCCAACTTGTCTCTGTTGAAACCTAGAAACTGGAGTGGGACTAGTTAGGACAAGCGCTAAAAAGGCGTGAAAGGACCCAGACTCTATGGGTAAAGCCGCTCAGAGCCTCTGGTTTCCTTTCAGTTGCCCTCAGCGGGAGGCCCAGGAGAAGCCGCCCGTCTGCAGGGGTGGGGCTGAGTGGGGAGACGGACTGGTGGTCGGAAGTTCAGGTTGTAAGAAAACTGGGGTATGACTCCAGCCATGTCCCCAGGGATGTCATAAAGCTATATCCTCACCACTGAGTGCAAGCAATGGTCTCTTTGTTCCTCTCTATTCCGGTTTTTTCTCCTAGGAGACAAAAGACTTGAATTAAGCTGAAGAAACTTCCCTCTGGGGTTTACAGTGCTGTGATTTTATGCCTTTACCATTTTCTCTACCTCTCTTTCCTGTAAAAGGCAGCAGAGAATACATCTATAAAAGTGAAATGCGTTTCTCACCGTAGGACACCTGTATATGTGATGTTGAGCATTTTCTCATGTTTGTTGGCCACTTGTATGTCTTCCTTAGAGAAGTCTCTATTTGTATCCTTTGCCCACTTTTTTTTTTTTTTTTTTTGAGTCAGAGTCACACTCCATTGTCCAGGCTGGAGTGCAGTGGCACGTATGTTTATGGCCACCCCAGCATCGACCTGCTGGGCTCTGCCTCAGCCTTCCGAGTAGCCAGAACTACAGGCGCATGCTACCATGCCCGGCTAACTTTTTTTTTTTGTAGAGATGAGGTCTCGCCAAGGTGCCCAGGTTGTTCTTGAACCTGTGGTCCTTTGCCCACCTTTTAATGGGGTTATTTATTTTTTCTGTTGCTTTGTTTGACTTCCTTATGGATTCTGGATATTAGTCGTTTGTCGGATGTACAGTTTGCAAGTATTTTCTCCCATTCTGTTTGCTGTCTATTCACTGAGTAGATGGTTTCTTTTGCTGTGCAGAAGCTCTTTAGTTTGATTAGGTTCCACTTGTCTATTTGGGTTCTTGCTGCTTTCTTTTTGAGGTCTTGGTCATGAATTCATTACCTAGGCTGGCGTCCAGGAAAGTGTTTCTAGGCTTTCTTCTGGGATTTTTATAGGTCTTACGTTTAAGTCATTAGCCCACTTTGAGTTAATTTTTGTATATGGAGAGAGAAAGGGATCCAGCTTCATTCTTCTGGAAAATGGTTAGCCAGTTTCCCCAGCACCATGTTAAACAGGGTGGAAGAATACAATCTGACCTACAACAGGCACTATGCATTCAAAAGCAGATATTAAAATATTTGCTTTGCGTCTTATTTCAAAATCTATACAATTTTAAAACATAAAGTTCAGAATCAGATCAAACAATCTGTGCTGTTAGAAATCAGAACGGCAGTTATTCTTGGAGACAGAGGGACCAGGGGAGGACATGGATATGGGAGGAGACACTCCAGGTTTCTTGATTTGGGTGCCATTTCCATGGGTGCTTTTCCTGTTTGAGAAAACACATCACACTGCTTACTTATCACTGGAGCCCTCTGTTCTGTGCCTTAAATTTTAATAAAAAGCTTACCTAGAAAATATATTCAGCACATGGATGAGGACATCTGCTGCCGGCTGGTACTACAATTTCGGAGTTTGTTTTTTGTTGTCTATGAACATTGTAATGAATGGCTCTCCACCCGAGCTGCAGGGAACGTGGCAGGGTGCAGAATTTAAGGAATAAATAGCAGATGCAACTTTTTGAATTGTTTAAAATGCTGCTTTTCACACAGGCCTCCCTGGATGCCTGGACAAGAGACCTTGAATTCCATGCTGTGCAGGTAAGAACTTGGGGGTTATGATGTATTAGTTGGAGTCGCCAGAGAAACAGAACTAATGTCGGTATACCTGGCGAGAGAGAGAGAGAGAGAGATTGGTTTTAAGGAATTGGCTCACACAACTGAGGCTGGCAGGGCAGGCCTACAGGTCGGAGAACCAGGGTAGGGTTTATGTTGCAGTTTCAAGTCCAAAGGCCATCTAGAGGCAGAATTTCTTTTGCCAGAAGACCTCATTCTCTTTTTCTTAAGGCCTCTGACTGACCAAATGAGACCCACCTGCATTATGGAGGATAATCTACTTTATTTAACATCTACTGATATAAATGTTAACCACATCTTTAAAAATGCCTTCATAGCAACGTGACTGAAGGCAACGTGACTGAACATAGACTGACGTTTGACCAAATTAATGGGCACCCGGGCCCAGTCAAGTTGACACATGCATTTAAACATATATGATCCTAAAGGTTGGTCAGTCTCTGTGAAAGGCCCTGGATTCTGCCACCCCCATCCTTATCCAGAATGAAAACATGCTGAATCCTGCTATGGGTGGGTTTACCAGAATCCCCTCAGATCAGATGGGTGCTTTCTTTGTTGATGACTGTTTTTGTATTGTCTTGCTATAACTAAGCACTTGGCTGTGCATTCCTGTTTCTACCTGTATGAGAAATGGGTTTTGCAACAGTCTAGCGCTTCCTGGCTCTGTAGTGGTCTCATTTATGAAGCAAGGCTTTTTATCAACTTACTTGCAGTTTTTTTCCTGTGGCAAAGATCAGGCTTTCCTTATGTGATAGGCAGCAAGGAACCAAAACCAACAAGCCAGCAACACCTAGACCCCTGGGCCATTCCAGGTAGTAATGATCCACACCTGGTTCTGATGCTCCAAACAACCTGGTATGGCATACTAGTCACAGCGTACTAGTCACCCAAGGGACAGCAAGCTCCAGGAAAGCCCACAAAGGGCTGGACTTGTTTAATCACTCAAAGAAAACTTGCCTCAGCTCCCAGGACTTCTCTGGGCAGGAGGGGAGAGGTGGACTTCCCAGGCAGGTGTCCTTCTGCCAACCTGGGGTGACAGGGAGGCGAGGCGGTGGCCGTTCTTGCCAAGTCAGTGCATTTGCTGTGGCAACGAGGCAAATGTGATGTGGGTTCTTTTATATCCTCCCAGAGCTGGAAAGGACCCACCCTTTTGGTTAGAGATGGAAAAACACTTCCCTCGGGGTGATGTGACTTGCCCAAGGTCACCTGGCAAGTTATGGAGAGAGATGGGAATGCAGTCCATTTTTCCAGACTACCAGGCTTACGATCATGGCTCGTGTGGGGCATTCCCTATGGGAGCAAGGCCAGGGTGTGGGTCTTTGAAATGCAGACGCTTGGGGTCATTCTTTGGTGGCTGTCATACCCCTAGTGGCACAGTCATCAGGGAAGAGGCCAAGGAGGACCAGCACACTGGAACTCAGACCTCAGAGGCCAAGGACTGACTTCCTCTTCCCAGTGGCTGCTAGAGCCTGCAGAGATCACTCTCTGGAAGCCCAGTGGGCCACCATCTCCCTGTCCTCTAAGGAACAATACATGACATCAAGGGTCTTGGGTGGAGGACCCTTTGTGGGGGCCACGTTTTCAAAATCTCCCATTTTATTAATGTCCGTGCATGTCTGCAGCGGGTGGGGTTGGCTGATGAAACAAGAGGCTGTTCTGTGTGTTGCTGACATTTAGGATCTCATGTGGTCCCTTCTCTGACCTGCCTTGGGGAGTTCGGGACTATGCTGTGGGGGTGCACGAGGACATGGTCAGAACCGAGAATTTGACTTCCATCACCCCCCCCGGGAGTGTGGGGAGCACTGCCCAGAGAGCATTGGGGGGAAGCTAGGCATCTCTGCAGGCAGCAGCATTGCTGTGTAAGGAGCTTGCGTGTGGAAGGGAGGTGTAAGGCATACCTCAGAAGGCCTGTTTCTGTTATATAAGGCAATTTAGCATCCTGCTCCCTAGGAAATTTCTTTTGGAGAAAATAGGCCATGCAAATGGAAAGGCATAATTGGGTGATTGGTTGTACTTGGAGGGCAGGGAGATTGGCTGCTTGTAAAAAAAAAAACTTTTCCTCTGGTCTGGTGGCCCTTATGTGGACAGACCCTGAGGTTTTTCTCCTGTGGGGAGTGTTCAGGGGTGAATTCTTGGCTTCCCCTTAGAAACTGGTTACTATGAAATCACAGATTCTTTTAGGCTGGAGATGGACGTTCTAGAGGCTTTTGGAGTACATACCATGGTGCAGGATCTTGGGATTAAGTTTAATAAGGATGGCCTTAGCAGGGTTTCTGGAATTTTCTGTCCAGAGGTATATTTTCTCTTTCTTCTGGCCTCGTGGCAGGTTTTCTGCTCATTGCTAAATAGCCCTTTGTCTGTTACAGGAGAAACTTGGTGTTTCAGGCCAACTTTGGTCTCTTGCCAGAGCAAACTCACACATTGTGCCCCTCTTGGGCTCTCTCTGGGTACTGGCCCTCAGAGGTTTTGCGTCTTGATCTCTAAGCGATTGAGAACCCAAGGAAGATCGGAAAGGAACATAAATGAAACCATAAAGCCGGCAGCGGCTCTCTCAGCACAGGGGTCATGGAACACCCAGAAGTAAAGTTTGCGGATTGGCTTTAAAAGCAGTCTTAAAAAGGAAGAAAGTGCTATCTTGTCTTCTCTTCCAAATACTGTTTAAAAACATATGACGGCCAGGCATGGTGGCTCACACCTGTAATCCCAAGCACTTAGGAAGGCCCAAAGTGAGAGGATTGCTTGAGCCCAGAAGTTCAAGACCAGTCTGGGCAACATAGCGAGACCTCATCTCCACAAAAAATTTTTAAAATGTTAGCTGGGCTTGGTAGTGGCTATAGTCCCAGCTACTCCAAGGCTGAGGTGAAAGGATCACCTGAGACCTGAGGTTGAGGGTGCAGGGAGCTGTGATTGTGCTGCTGCACTCCAGCCTGGGTGACAGAGGACAGAGTAAGACTCCAAATCCAAAAAAAAAAATTGACAAAGGTGCATTTGATAATTTTTTTCCCCCCCGTTTAAGGTACTAACAGGTGGAACTGGTAACTTTTATGTAAAAATAGAGATAAAGAGGAGCAAAGGAAGGAGATTCTGCCTGACTTTTCGAGAAAGACTGGTAATATACCTTTTGGGGTGGGTGGGTGTGTGTGTGTGTAAAAGTGTGTTCTCTTTTGCTTTAGACCAGGTAGCCTGTCATGTGTCAGACACAAAGGGAGAGGGAAGCAGTAGAAAAGGAGACTGTCCTCTTCTTGCCTTGACCAAGGTGACCTGGAGCACAGGGTCTCCTTCGTAGCATTCCAATGTCCTGGGGCATGTGGCCTCCTCCATACAGCACCCCGTACAGGACCCCAGCATCATGCTCCTGCCTCTGCCCAGCCGCTGTGTCTGGCCTTTCTCTCAACCCCTGGGATTGCCTGACACCTGCCTCCAGGCTTTGAGAGTGTGGTGTCAAGTCAACCAAGGTCAGGGCTGTGAACATCTGAGTTTCTATCCAGGCTCACTGGTGGATTATTTAACCACCCCAGGCTGTTTCCTCATGTGCAAAGGGCATAGCGGAATTTGCCTTTTGATGGGTCATGCTCTCAGGACAGGGTCTGGTTCCCTGTTTGTTCTCAAAAAAGGCTGGAGGCAGCTGTGAAGTGCTGAGCAAGGAGGAAGCTTGCAGAAGCTTCGAAAGCTTCGCCTCCCCTCTCTCCCGGGAGATGAGCCATGTCAGCTACGGGCCTGACCCCCAGGGAGCTGTAGTCCCTCAACGTGGCACACAAGGCTCGGTTCAGCATCCCCACTTCCATTTCTTCCCTGCTGTTCTTTCCTGCTCAAAAACTGGACATAATGAACCCAACTCTTCGAAGGCATTGAGCGTTCTTCTCAGGAAGGGCTATAAAAGCACAAAGTGTTTCCTTGAGAAGCTTTTCTACAACATTGATGAAAAATAGATGAGCTCCCTTGATTTGCAAATGCTGTTAAAGTTGAGAGCAAAAAAGTGAAAATATGTATTTTTTCCCCTCTCCCATGGGGAGGTCAGGGGTACAGTTCCCTTTGTTTTAACAGTAAACATCAAGCCCAGTCTTTAGGGCCAGAAAAAAGAACTTCTGCTGCTTCTTCTTAGTGACATCACCCTTCCCAGTAGCTTGAACTCAATTAATTTTAATTCAATTCAGTTTTTACTGGCCTTTTAAAAAACATTTCAATAACTATTTATTAAGCTCTCTCTAAGCATCTGGCTTTATGCCAGAGGCTGTGGGCTTGGAGATATAAGATGGTCAAATTTACTCCCATCAGAGGGATTATAATCTAATTCAACAAAAACTAGATTTACAGGAAAAAAAAAAAAAGACGATGGCCAGTTGTGGTGGCTCATACCTATAATCCCAGCACTTTGGGAGGCTGAAGTGGGAGGATTGCTTGAGGCCAGGAGTTGGAGACTAGCCTGGGTAACATAGTGAGACTCCATTTTTACAAAAAAATAAAATAAATTAGCCGGACCTGGTGGTGCATGCCTGCAGTCCTAGCTGCTCAGGAGTCTGAAGTGGGAGGATGGCTTGAGCCCAGGAGTTTGAGGTTATAGTGAACTATGATTGTACCGCTGCACTCCAGCCTGGGCAACAGAGCAAGACTCCATCTCAGAAAAAAAAAAGAGTACATACATGTGAGTCTTAAGTACACAAGTAAGTGCTGACATGACTGGGGTAGAATGCGTCAGAGGCCCTTCCAGGACCGCTCAGGTCTCTGTGGATTTGTCCATTGATTTGTTTGTCCAGGTTGTGCTGGGCGCCCCTTGGCTAGACTGCACAGACAGGCTCTAATGTGAAGGTGAAAGTGGTTATGTTTTCAGTTGCCTCAGTAAGTCATTTCAATGAGTAGAATCTTCAGCCACCGCTTTAAATGCAGACAGTTTTCCAGAAGTACTAGTCTGCTTCACTTTGGATTGTTCAGCTTGTTCCAGAATAATTAACCTCCTAGGGGTGCCTCGCCCTTGCCAGGACACCCCAGAACAGTGCAGTGCAAGGGAGCTAGGGAAAATTGTTTTCTTCTTTATTTCGATAGCTTTAGTGGGGTACAAATAGTTTTTGGTCTGGGCTTTAAGTGTGCCCACCGCCGCCGCCTGTGCACGTTGTACCCGGTAGGTGGTTTTTTGTTTCTTCATCCCTTTCCCCTCCCAATTCTGAGTCTCCAGTGTCCATTGTACTCTTCTTTATGCCTTTGCAGATCCTTTGTTTAGCCTCCACTTATGAGTGAGGACATGTGGTGTTTGATTTTCTGTTCCTGAGTTAGTTTGCTTAGGATAATGTTCTCCAATTCCATCCAAGTTGCTGCAAAAGATGTTATTTCATTCTTTTTTTGACGGCTGGATAGTATTCCACAGTATATATAGATCCCATTTCCATTATCCACTGATTGGTTGATAGACATTTGGGTTGACTCCACATCTTTGCAACTGTGAGTTGTGCCGCGACGAATTTGTAGGTGCCAGCATCTTTTTTGTATAATGACTTCTGTTCCTTTGGGTAGATACCCAGTTGTGGAATTGTTCGATCAAATGGTAGAACTACTTTTAGTTCTTTGAGAAATCTCCGTACCGTTTTCCACAGAGGCTGTACTAATGTACACTCCCACGCATAGCGTAGAAGCGTTTGAGCTAGGGAGAATTGAAGGTCCCTTGTTGCCCAGGCTGAGGGAGTCGGGCTTCCTTGGAGCATCTGCGGGGCCCTGGCTGTTCACTCAACTCTGGAGAGCACTGAGTGTTGAAAAACTGTTGTCTCTCTCATCTACTCCCTTGACTTTCCAAAGAGGAATTCCACCGTACCTTCTTGCTCTGTTGCCCAGGCTGGAGTGCAGCGGTACAATCTAAGTATGTATGTTTGCTTCTCATTTGAAGGATAAAAAGCCTAAAGAACAGGAAAAAAGAGGGGATTTTCTTCATCGACCATTCTCCAAGAAGCTGGACAAGAACCTGCCGTCGCACACACAGCCCTCGACCTCGCTCATTGCACAGATCCAGAACACCAAAGCCCTGCTAAAGGACCGGAAGGCCTCCAAGACCGGCCTCCCCGACAAAGGTGGGCCAGCTCTGTGGACACGCTCAGGCCACCTGTGTGGAGCTGCGTGTCTGCTGTGTACCCCTTGTGGGGGGTGGCTGCGTGGACCCTAGAACAGATGATTTCCGTGTCCACAGGCAACCAGAGTTAATAGCCCAGAGGTCACCTTCAAGAGCAGTCGAGGACCAAGCTGTGTGGCAGTAGCCACCAGGGCAGGAAGGACTTGAGAACACAGAGGTGGGGTGCATGGCGTATGGAGACAGAGACTGAGGTGTAAAATATTGTAGGAACAGAGGTTGGGGACCATAGTATTCCAAGAGCAGAGATCGGAGATCTTGATGATGGTATCATGGGAGCCTTTTCCGGAAAACTGGACCCTATGAAGCACTGGCATGTGATTGAGTTTCGGCTATGGGGTGGGAGTAGGGTGCTCAGACCTGAGTTCGAATCCCAGCTCTGCCGCTGGTGGAGACTCAAGTTCCTCAACTGCTGAGGATCTTTGCTGGGTCTCTTTTGTAATGGCTCCTAGCTTTTGGAGCTATTGGAATGAAATGAGATGAATATGTAGGTTGAGCACAGTGGCCTGGAATCCCAGCACTTTAGGATCATATCTGTCAGGATGTTCAAGACCAGCCCAGGCGATGTAGCAAGACCCCATATATACAAAACAATGAAATAAATTTTTTAAAAAATTAGCCAGGCGAGGTGGCTTGTGCCTGTAGTTCCAGGTGCTTGGGAGGCTGAGGTGGGAGAATCTCCTGAGCCTCAGATTTCAAGGCTGCAGGGTACCCACTATGATTGTGCCACTGCCCTCCAGCGAGGGTGACAGAGTGAGACCCTGCATCAGAGAGAAAGAGGGAAAAGGGGAGAGAGAGAGGGAGGATTCTGCTCCTGCCTTGGAATCCAGCATGTCATGGATAACTGATAAATGGTGTCTCCTTCTTCTGTGTTGTGTTGAAGGATGTAGAATGAAGAGCTCACTAAACGCAGCTTTAACATACACAGGAGAAACTTGGGAGGCAGAGACGTCCCAAGACAGAACCATGAGGCAGAGGAGGGATTCCTAGAACTGAAGGGAAAGGAAGAGATCTCAGAGTTCAATCCTTCTGTTTCATTTATTTATTTGAGTCGGAATCTCACTCTATTGCCCTGGCTGGAGCGTGGCGGCACGATCACAGCTCACCACAACCTTGACCTCCTGGGTTTAGGTGATTCTCCCACCTCAGCCTCCCTAGTAGCTGGGACTACAGGTGCATGCCACCATGCCTGGCAAATTTTTCTATTTTTTGTAGAGATGAGGTCTTGTTATGTTGCCCAGGCTGGTCTCAAACTCCTGGGCTCAAGCAATCCTCCTGCCTTGGCCTCCTGAAGTGCTGGGATCGCAGGTGTTAGCCACCATGTCCAGCCCAATCCTTCTGTTTTAAATAGGAAGAAACTGAGTCTAAGAGAGGGCCCCACCATGTCCAGTTCAATCCCTCTGTTTTAAATAGGAAGAAACTTGGACTCAGAGAGGGCCCCGTCCATCAGAGATCAACTCAGGCATGCCAAGCAGTTAGTCCCTGAGCAGAACTTGAACCCCCCTTCAATCCTTCTACCTATGCTGCTCCCAACTGGGGCCCCCATCCCCACATTCCCCACAGTGGGCTTCCTTCCTTGGAGCGGACCGTACAGAAATCTGGGAGGGGAGGTGATACCCATGTGCCCACTGGAACATTGGAGACGTCAGCCATTCATGAAGCTTTGACTCCTTTCTGCTGATGTGTCTCAGGAATCTGGGCTGGCCTGCTGTATTTCGGTGTCTGTGTATTTATTTACATAAGGCAAGGCGGCTTCCCAGTGCCCTCAGCTGCTCCTGTAATCATTCCCAGTGGACAACAGCTTGCTCCTGCAGCTGGGCTTCAACAGGGCCTATAAAATGTTATGGGAGAAGAAAGAAGTGAAGACAGACCTTGTTCCGCATGGACTTGGCTTTATTTCCCTCGACTCCAAATCTGCAGGGGGTTTTCCCTTTCTTTTCTGGCACTGTTGGCAAGCCTGGAGTCTATTCTATGCCAACTCGAGATAGAAACTGTGGAGATTGGCTGGTTGCCTTAACTATATGGATGAAGGGTGTTCTACCCCTGTCAGAATCAGATGAGTCTCTGTGGTGGCTTGTGCCTGTCATCCCAGCACTTTGGAAGGCCAAGGTAGGAGGGTTAAGGTGGGAGGATCGCTTGAGGCCTGGAGTTCAAAACCAGCCTGGACAGCATAGTGAAACTCTCCCATTTCTACATTATTAAAGATTTTTTAAAAAGCCCTGGGAAGCCTTAAAAAGGAGAGAGATCCTGACACATGCTCCAACATGGATGAGCCTGGAGGGTGTCACACTAAGTGAATCACGCCAGTCACAAGAGGCAGATACTATGTGATTCCATGTATATGAGGTCCCTAGAGTAGTTGGATTCAAAGAGACAGACAGTAGGATGAGGAGTGCCAGGGTTTTGGGGGAGTGGGGATGGGTCTAGTGTGTTAGATTTGCAATAGCAAAAGAGTCCTGGAGACTGATTCTAAAGCACTGTGAATATACTTGGCGCTGAGCTGTACACTTAAAGATGGTCAAGACGATATAATTTCTGTATTTTTTAACCACAATAAATTATTTTATTTTATTTTTATTTTTGAGTCAGAGTCTCTCTCTGTCGCCTAGGCTGGAGCGCACTGGCATGCTCATAGCTACCACAGCCTCGACCTGCTGGGTTCAAGCAATCATTCCGTCTCAGCCTTCCGAGTAGCTGGAACCACAGGCATGCATCACCATGCCTGGCTAATTTTTTGATTTATTGTAAAGATGAGGTCTTGCCACGTTGTCCAGGCTGGTCTTGAACCCCTGGGCTCAGGCAATCCTCTTGATTCCTCTTCCCAGAGTTCTGGGATTACAGGCGAGAGCCACCGTGCCCGGCAATAAATTATTTTAAAAAGTCATGGGGGAAACACTCCTTTCAGGGTGGACTGTCCAAGGACCAGATTGGCCAGAGTCCAGTCCATGGCGCACGGGGTGCTTCCGGGGGTTTTATGGGTGTGCTGTCAAGCACAGGTACCTTTTTTATTCCAAGGCCCTTTGCTGGTTGGTTTCTTCTCACCTCTTCAGTAACCATCTTAATCAGGGTGGAGGTCAGAGATGACAGGAGAGAGGCCATGTTTACTGTCTGGGTGGCCCTTCGTGATTTTGTGTGTTTTCTTGGTGCACAGATTCCTTCGGCTGCCGCAATATTTTCCGCAAAGCATCTGATTCCAATTGTGTGGCTTCCTCTTCCATGGAGTTCATTCCTGTCCCACCCCCTAGGACCCCCAGGATTGTAAAGAAACTGGAGCCCCAGCAGCAGGGGCCTGGAAGCGCCGGCGTCCTCCCCAAGGAAGACCTTCTGATGCTGGACATGGTGCGCTCCTTCGAGTCCGTTGATCGCGATGACCACATAGAACTTCTGTCCCCCTCTCATCACTACAGGATTCTGAACTCCCCAGTGAGCTTGGCTCGCAGGAATTCCAGTGAGAGGACACTCTCCCCAGGCCTGCCGTCCGGAAGCATGTCACCTCTCCAGACCCCTTTGCATTCCACTCTGGTCTCCTTTGCTCATGAAGAGAAGAATAGCCCCCCAAAAGAGGAGGGCTTGTGCTCCCCACCTCCGGTCCCCAGCAATGGCTCCATGCAGCCTCTGGGGAGCCCGAATTGTGTGAAGAGCCGAGGCAGGTTCCCCATGATGGGCATTGGCCAGATGCTGAGGAAGCGGCACCAGAGCCTGCAGCCCTCTGCAGACAGGCCCCTGGAGGCCAGCATGCCCCCACTGCAGCCCCCAGCCCCTGTGAGCCTTTCCTTTGACATGGTCGACGGGGTCAAGAGCCAGTGTTAACTTGGGCCGGAGGGATTCTGGGTGACTCTAAAAAGGAAAAGCAACGGAACAGAGCTTCACATATCTGTCAGGGTGTGAACATTCAGAGGCCTCACATGGAGCATCCTTATGGCCTCACCTCTCCCTGCCACACCGTGTCCCACCTATAGCCGAAATTCACAGACCCAAAATCTGCACCACCTCATCTCACTTAGGGACCCCTGGAAGTGCTGGAAATTGCTAGAAGGGTTGGCTCCGGGGGCCGCCCGTTCTAATCACAGACCCCCTTTCCTCCCACCCACTCGGCAGCTCCTTCCAGCTCCCATTGCGGGGCTTGGCGGGCAGAAAACCATGCATCGGCCTTCCGAGGCACTCAGATCTTTCTTCACGCCCTGCTACATGTGTGCCTCTCAGCGGATTGTTCTCTTTCCAGCCGTCAGCCACGGTCACACGGGGAGAACAACATCACAAAGTCCTTCATCCAGGTCACTGTTTCCTCTGCAACATGAAGCAGTCCTTCTTGTGTAGCTGTGACTCCCTGCAGGCCAGCATGAGCTGGCAGCGAGGAATGCCAGGTCCAGGAACCTCAGAGGAAGATGGGGAAGAGCCTCAGACAAAGATGGAATCAAACAGCGGGGACCCCGGCAAAAGATAGACTGAAGGAGACACTCGCTTCCCAAGCAGAGTTTTGATAGATTTTCATTGTGGTGGTTGAAACTTGCTAATGGTTGACTTATCTTCTCTGGAGAGATTTTTCTTTGTGATGTCAATAAGTTGAAATAACCCAATTTTAAAAAACCTGAATGGAGAGATGAGAAGCGATTCTACCAAACTCATGTTTTCATGAGAGGGTGCAATATGGAAGGCAAAAAACTCGCTCCGGTGATGTGTTTAGTGGCGTGGCAAGCAGACAGGTCAGGATCCCAGTTGCCCTATGCTCATCGCATTATATTAACATAGTCCCGATCCTTCTGGAAGATGTAGAACATAGTTACCGTTAGTTCTTTAGAAAGAGAGAAAAGATGGTTATGGTGGAATTTGAATGGCGAGAAGGTAACATTACCTCTGCAATGTGATTTTCAAGTTGCCCAGAAAACAAGCATGGTTTAGAGCTCAGCCAGTGTGCTGTGAGCTGTGAACAGGCTTGCCCGGCGGAGAATCTGTTCAAATACAGGCCAGTTTCTTCTTCGAGGAAAGCCATCTTCCTCAAACAGGGTTAAGTCGGTGTTGTGTTTTCACACCTTTTGCCAAGGATCGAACCAAAGATGTGTCTCCAGTTTTGTGTCTGTGTTGTCCCTGTGTGTGAATTTTGTGGATCTCCATGTTGTCTGTGTCCAGCTGGAGCCTGATGGGGGCTGTTCCCACATGGGGCCTGGGCCCTGGCACTTGGCTGAGACCACTTGATCATGAGCAGAATTGGAGAAAGGAGAATCATCAGCAGAGGTTGGGTAGTAGATAGTTTAGGAGGCTGGTTGTAAATGGCCCGGATTCTACAACTTTTGACTACTGCAGATGTGACCAGAGGCCCTTGCTGTGGCCACCTGGAGTAGTCATCTCAGTCCATTGGTTCCAAAATGTGAATCCAAAATTGCAAAGCCAGCTTTCATTTCCCTGGCGGCTTCCCTTGCCAGAGGATGGGGAGTTGGCTCTGGGTCATTTTCTCGTTCATTAGTGGTGGCATCCCTTGGCCCCTCATGTCCCTGATAGAGTGAAGAGAGAACGGATATTCGGCTGATCCCAGAAGCCAGTCTTGGCTGGCCCTGGCAGGACCCAGAGCTGCCGCTTCCTTCTCGTGGGGATCGTCCCAGCTCTGGGGCATGGTGGGAGGATATCACATTACTCATTGTTGGTGTTATTCTATGTGTAACTTCAGACCAGTTTCCAGGACTTAACATTGAAAATAGAGTTTTTTTAAACAGAGAAAAGAATCATCTAAGAAAGACCCTTTCTCCATTTGACATGAAGTGTACATTTTCTAAAGATGGTTTCCAGCCACAACTGTCCTACCCTGCAAGTTCGTCGGATTTGCGCTGTGCTTTGGGAACTTTCTGGAACCCCTGATGTCTTTTTCTTGCATTGTACTTTCCTCAAGAATGAGAGCTGTGTTGCCGTTAGCTTGCGGAGAGCGTGCTTGGAACAGCTGCGGGTGTGCCACTAACTGACCGCGTCACCATGGGTGACCTGGACTCTGAACTCAGGTTTTATTCTGAAACCCAGAGAGGGGTGAGGGGGGAGTGAGAAAGGGGGAGAAACTGTATTTTGTGTGTGTGTGAGCACCTGACAAATCTATGAAACCAAGTAAAAGGAGAGATGTTAGATTCTTTATTATTTTATTATATTTATACAGAAAACTCGACTGGTCCTTTGGTAAGTACGGAGCGTGTTGTCTGTTTGACCCATGACTGTCTTCCTCAGTCTGTGCCTGTGAGTCCCGTCAGCTGTAGTTACTGATGGAAGATGATGAACTGTCATCATGTGAAGTCCAAGAGGAAAAGCCTATTTTAATTGTGTGATTTGGTCATAAGTAAGGACTGTATTTATGTCACCATTATTATTAAATGTATGTACTTTTATAATGACTGTGAAATATACTTTTCCCTCACTACGACTGTTTCTTTATTTGCTGATAAATCTCAAAACACCAAGTACATTGCAAATAGTAGGAAGGCGACATCATTTATGTAAAGGCCAGCAACTAACTGGATACAGGAGGGAATTGAGTTGTGGGGCATTTAGGGGCATTTTCTGCTGCAGTATCCCTGCCTCATTTTACCTGCAACAGGTGTTCCTACTAAAGTCTATCAGACTAACTTACTGCAAATAGCAATTCAAAATAAATCCGCATTTTTTGGTTTTTTGAGGATCAGTATCTCCCATGGAGACTCTGAAAATGACACACGAAGAATGATGTCTATGAACATTATTTCTAGATTTTTGTCCTTGTTTTAGGCCTTGGTCAGGGATAGCTGAAGAGGGATGATAGGATGGAATGGGGAGGGGATCTAGATTACTTGTTTATTTCACTTACCACTTTATTCATAACTGTTCACAAAATGGTTTTCATGTGAGGGGAGACCCCTAAAAACTTGGAATTTATTTAGAAAAAATTGTGTATTTTATTTAGAAAAAATTGTGTATTTATTCTTCCATGTTTAAACTTGTCACCTTCAAAGTACTCTCTGTTTGATGCAGTACACCTATTGAGACGCTTTTCCCACTGCTCAAAACAGTTTTTGAACTCATCAATTTTGATACCTTTTAGTGCTTCTGCTATTTTTTCTTTCACCTCTTCCACATCAGCAACATGTTTTCCTTTGAGGACTTTTTTCATCCAGGAAAACAAAAACAAATGTTGCTTGAGGAGAGATTGGGTGAATAGGGAGGGCTGGGCAAGGGAGTCATGTTTTTCTGGTCCAAAAGTGCTAAACAGCGCGGTGTGGGCAGGTTGTTGGTGTAAATCACAAAATGGGCAAATGTTGAAAGAATCTCAACAACAACAACAAAATTCTCTGAACCCAAGCACAGCCTCTCACAATGCTATCCGATACACTGATGCCAATGGGTTCCTAGAATACTTACCTAGCAGGGGGAACCCTGTACTACAGGGGTCCCATCCTTCAAAAAATAATTCTGTTTTTTGGAAGGGTCCTTCTCATATATACCACCTTGTTTAAAACTTTGTGTCTCCCTGTCCAGTGAGGGCATGAAAGCTCAGAGGGTCACCTGGCTAAAAAGTCAAGAGTCTCACTGTTCCTACTGCATGAAGCCGTCTCTGAAGTTTGGCAGGGAAAAGAATGAGTGTCTAGTCCTGATAACATTTTTTTTTTGGTAGGGTTTAAAACATTTTAGAACAGAAAGGGACATGAGATTCTCTGATTCAACCCCAGTGTATTTGAAGAAGGGAAAACTAGGGCTCCAAATGGCTTAAGGGCGACGTCCCAGAATCCCCAAATGAGCTGGCACCAGAGCTGGTTTGGAACACAGGGCTCCTTCCTCAAACAATGCAGAGGAACCAGAGAGTGTGACTGCTGTGGTCTGAGAGGAGAGTCAGCGGCAGGTCAAGGTTGCCAAGAACAGGTGTTGCATTTTAAAGTCATTTTCAAAATTGTGAAGCTTATTGAGAGTCAGAGCAGCAAGTTCTTCCAGCGTCCACTCACAAAGTTGGAGAGAAAGACAGCTTCCTTTGGGGAATCTGTCTTTCTCAATCGATTTCCCAAGTAAGCAGTAACCCCTGGACTGCCTTGTTACCTGCTTTAGCTGTTAAGACTCTATTTACTAGATTAAATCAATAACATCTTTTCTTAGAGCTCTATCATAAATCAAGACAAATTCAAAAAGAAAGCAACAGTGATATATTTTTAAGGAGGATCTGGAAACTTCTTGGTCATTGTGTTTGTTTTCTTTGTAGGAACCTCTATATGCTACAGGCAAAGTAAGAATAATCCCAAGCGGTACTGGGAGCTGGTTCAATTTCATGTCATCACTTTTCAATGAAAGGAGCGTATTTCCCAAGTAGTAAATGAACGTATTATTTGTGGCAGCTTTTCTGTCAAGGGAGCTTTTCAGACATTTGGTTCCAAAGACAAATGGGGTATCTATTCGTACTTCTCTGAGGATGTGTTTTCATGACACAGTTATTTCTAAGTTTTGATGTCTGATGTCTGTGGGTACTAAGGGCCTGGGGCTGGAGGAAGAGTGCTGGGGAACTTTAGAAGAGAAGGTGAGGTGTATTTCAGGCTTTGGGATCCCCTCCAGAGGTATCCACATCTGGGCTGGTGTTAGGATAATGAGGCATTTAGGGGAACCAATTCTGGAAGCATAGAATAGCTTGATGTGGAGCAAACTCAGGGATCAACTGGCGTTGAGTGGTTTAAAACTTAAAGATGGCACATTGCAGAAAGCATGATGCCAGGAAGCTGTATTACTTAAAGGTGAGAAAACAATTGGCTCTGACTTAAGGGCCTGAGCTACTTGTACTTCCTACTTGGAAGATGGACAGACCATAAGCTATTTTGGAAGTAAAGCCTTTGGCATGCATTTAAGCTCTGTGTTATTTTACTTTCTAGGCCCATTCCCATAGCCAGCTGGAAAACGGCAAGTTGCATGCCTGTATTGAGAACAAGGCTTCTTGTCC